ACAGTGCCACTTCCAGCTTTTTTGAGTAGTTTATTGGAGACAAGGATCTCATGGAGTTTTCTGCCTGGTCTGGCTCTGAACCATGATCCATAGATCTCAGCCTCCTAAGTAGCTAATATTATAGGCATAAGGCATGGGGGCCTGGCATTTGTCAGATTTTTTAATGACATAAAACTAGTAACTAAACCAAAGTTCACTTAAGAATTTGTTTATGTCAAGGTCCTTCAAATGAATACTTTTTAACCCCAATGTTATTTTTTTTTGCTGTCTGATATGTCTGTTTCCCAGTCATGTAAGCCTCCTTGGATACAGAGCTCCTGTAGCAATTACAATCAGGCCATTAGAGGAACAGATAGCTTTTACAAGTTTGTCACATATAACTTCAATTCTTAATAAGTTCCAGGTAAGCTCTGCTTAAAACTATTTCTACTGACCCCCTTCTTACTTGAATTGGAAATAGAAAGGGGTTATTGGCACTGACTCTTAGCCAACCTGTTAGTCACCTCTCTCCAATGTGGGATTCAGCCAACTGGGACATGTCAACCTAGCAGCAAGCAAAAATGCTACCTAGGATATTATTTCAGCAAGAACAAGACAGCCACCAGAACAAAGCTTGTGTAAGCAATGAAGGATATTGGCAACAAGGGATCATCCAGGGATAGTTGGAAAAAACTGCCCAGATGAGAGGTGAGGGTGTCATATCCTAAATGGAGTCACTTTGTGCTTGTCCTTTCAAAAGTAAAGCCAGGAGGTCATTCGAAAATAGCTCATAAACATGACTATCTAATGTCCATACCTGTCTACTTTGTCATGGGGCCATAACTTACACCCTTACCTATTAGTCAGTTGTTATAGTGGGTAGTAAAATGCTAGGGTTGTCAAATGGGAGATAGTTCAAAGTTAACAAAAAGCCCAGCCCCCAGTATCTGCTAAAGGCACTAAAAGGCAGTACATTTTGGTCTGGCACCAGCCACATGAATCCATCTGGTCGAGGAAAGAAGGTAAAGCTGGAGCATTAGTAGGTCAGGACCCTCTTCTGGATACCTGGGCAGTTGGGCCTGATAGACCTCACACACTCATGTAATGAGGTCTTAGTAAACGTCTGTACAGATTCCAATATGCTTTCTTGGTATTACATATCCACGCAGACAAAAAAGGAGGTTTGTTGGCTAATGAGAACTTCCCAATAAAACATGGATCTGAGTTTGTGTCCCTGTTAAAATGCTGGCTGGAAACCTTCACTGGTAACAGTTATGTATCATGAGGGTCAAAGATCAAGTCCCCCAGTCAGACAGGAAAAATGCTTCTGCAAACTGGAGATCTAAACAGGCTGCACTAACAAACCTGCTATAGAAAAATGGCTTTTACATCCCTTCAGATCAACTTTTACCTAGATAGAAGGAACCCTGTGCAGTTCTTCTCAGTACTCCTCCAACTATAACTCATTTTTGTGATGGGTGCCAACTTTAACAAAGCCTGCAAATCTGCCAGCATTAAAACATAGGTAATCTAAGTCTGTTTTCCCACTGGTATGATTACGTTCCTCTGCCTCCATTCCATATGCTGGTCTAAAGGATATTTCCAAAGAGTTCTCTTTGTTAAATCCAGAGGTAAAAATGATAAGACAAGCTGTCCTGCAAAATAGGACCCCTTTAAACATCCTTCCTTTAGCCCATGAAGAAATCTGCACAGTTGTAAAAAGTTAAATGTTATATAGCACTTTGGTCTTAGCTTTAATGAGCTCTTTACCTATGTTTTTCAGGAAGTAAAGGGTGAAAATTTGCTATTTTTCTTTTTGGTACTAATATAATGGGAGATACTGATTTGTTGTTCCTTATATTGTTTCTGTGGTTTGTTACCCTCCCTAACTTTTCATATGGTTTCAATTCATATGGTTTCAATGCTCCTAATGACAGCTGATCTTGGCAATCTGACAACTGAATTTCTCATGACACCCCTTGGTTAGAGAGGACAAGACTTCAGGTCTCTGGCTAGACAGAGGGACCGAAGTCATTTTGGGGGGGGGGAAATGAGGCAGGGTAGATAGTGATGACAAAGTGATGACAAGTACAGATTCCCTGGAGTGTGGAGACCTCACTTATGAGAGATGGTTACAGGCCCAAGCCTTCTATGTCTTCCCAGGAAATCCTAGTGTTATTGGAAGAAATCTGGTTACCAAAAGTCAGTGCCCTGGTACATTATCCAGGGCATCAGAAAGGGGATTCTGCAGTAGTAAAAGGAAATCACACAGCTGCTGCTACTGCCTGAGAAGCTGCTTTAAATAAGTGGGGCCCCTAAATATTTTATGGACTACTACTGACCCCATCCAAGCAAGTATACTCAGAGGAAGAACAACATCTAACCAAGAAGTTGGATGGAGAACAAAATGCTGAAGGGTGGTTGATCTTGCCAGACAGTAGGATTTTCTTACCCAAAGTTCTGGACAGAACTTTGAGCAACCAGGTGCAACAAGCAACTCACTGGGGAACAACTAAGACTGTGAGCCTTCTTAAGGGACACTACTTTGTTCCTAAATTAGAACAGATAACTGAACTAATAGCCTCCAGGTACTCTGCTGTGCTCAGGTCAACACAAAACAGAGGGAAAAGTCACCCCACCCAGAAGTAAGGACCTGAGGACACACTCCAGGGGAGCACTGAGAGCTAGGTTTCACTGAAGGCATCGCCCCCACACACATACCCCTTAGGTTACAAATATCTCCTAGTTTTCACCAACACTTTTTCAGGATGGGTAGAAGCATTTCCCATGAAACAGGAAACAGCTATGGTTGTGATTAAAAACTTGGTGTACTATCAATAGGATGGGGTTTACTCCATTCAAAATAATGTTTAGAAGAACCCTTCCCTTACTCTCCAGGCTTCACTCTAAAATATCGGCTAAACTTAATAATTGATCCTTACTTACCTTTCTGCAGAACTTACAGACATGGGTAAATGCATAAACTGGTCTGAGAGATACTGCCCCGGCCACTGCCCAGCTCAGATCCAGCCCATCCCTTCCAACCTGGGGATTCCATTTGGGTTAAGAAATTTGTTAAAGAGGGCCTCACTCCCACCTGGAAGGGACCCTACACCATCATCATGACTATTCCCACCATGGAAAAAGCAGACAGGATTCCTGCCCAGGCAAAAACTGTAAAGGGTGAACTCTGTGCAGCTTTGGGAGAAACTTGTGGTTTTTACGCTGATGCAACAGGTCTAATACAGGAGAGCCTCTCTATGTGAGACAAAACATAGAAACAAGAAAGCAAAGGTTGGAAAAATTCCCAGAACTTGTTCCAAAAATTGTTTAATTGGTCCCCATGGCTAACAACTCTGATATCTACAGTCATGGGACCCTTAATTCTACTTCTCTTGGATAAAATCATAGATCAATATCTTCTCAATTATTTTGTAAACTTTGTTCAAAATTGTGTTACTTGGTTAAGCTCATGGTCCTACGGGCCCCAAAGCAATGATTTGATTCCTTGTGCATAAGATCAATGATTTGAAGAATCAATTATTTGATTCCCTGTGCATAAAACTAGTAGCGAATGAAATATGGTATCGGGTCTAAATAATGCCATCTTGTCCTCACCATCCTCTTGGTGTCTTAATAATAATGAGGACTTTCACCCAGTTCCCAAAACTCTAGAGGTAAGCTATATAGATCCTTCTTTGAATTGCCAATGTGTCATATTTAGCGCCAAGACAGTTTTGTCCCAGAGAATGCTTGCCCTATGTGGCCCATGATTGTTCCCTGAGATAGTTTGGTTTGTTTATATATATGACACTTTTGTTAGTTCCCCACTCCAATCAAGTGTTTTTTGCTTTTATCAGCTTTGTGCTAGCTATGTTCAGGGCTGCAAGTTTTGGGGGTACATGAGTCCACTTTGCATTTCCAGCTTGGTAATAATGATTCCCAATTCAACCTCTCAAAATGTGGCTTCTCTATTGCGTGATCAAATTCTCATATAACACTCTCACTGAGCTCAACAGGTGGTATTTACTGGAAGCCATCATGGAACATGTACAAGAACAGGCTCAGACATAAATGAACCCATTACCTCTTCTCACAGCTGTCTGATAAGGTGCTGGTTGACCCCAGGGTGTCTACACCAAGTCCCATCCAGACAATCTAGAATCAGCTAGATTCCCTGGAATAGGACAGTTGGGGGTAGGGAAGCTGGGTCTCAGGTGGGAGTGGCACTTTGCACACATCATCAGCTTCAGGAAGTGCCTCAGGCTCATTTCTAACATGAAGGCCCCTAGTCCCCTACACACTGGTGCCCCCATCTCCCTCCCATGTTCTCCAAAGTCCCATGGCAAAAGTGTGAGCGGTCAGTGCTACCGTCCAGCCCAGGATCCCCTCAGTGAGTCCTTCTCCATCCACCTCCTGCTGAGCTGTTCAGGTCGGTGCTGAGAGCTGCCGGCCAGGCTCAGCATCCCACTCCACACAGGGGAATAGAAGCACCCGGATGCTGCACTTGTGGGCAGAACCAGAAACCAAGCATGTGAGGCTTGGCTGGCCTGCTATTCCAGACAGAGCCTGGAAGAAGAGCCTTGTCCTGCACTGCCAGCACACAGTAGGTCCTCAGGGTGAGCACTGAGTAGGGCTGATCTGGCCGGCCTGTTCCTCCTTGCCTTTTCCTCCCAGGCCTGGGCTGTCGCGGGGTCTTCAGTGTGGATCTGATCTCTCCCTGCAGAGGCTGAGGAGTGCCCCCCCCCAGGGCCAGGTCTGTCCCCTCCTCTTTCCCAGCATGGACCCAGCCTCAGGTTCCTTCTTTGGGTCTCAGTCCCTTTGGAGCTCAGCCAGGGCCACAGAGCCAGGCCTTGGCCATGGGAGCTGTGGACAATGACCAGGGTGCCATGACTCCCTGAGGTTCAGGGCCGGGCACTGCTCAGGTGAAGACAGCAGCGTGGGAGGGCAGGTGGCTCAGCAGCTAGCCAGTGGACTTAGTCCCTTAGTCTGTTTGCTTCTTAGTTTTGTGAGATGACCTGAGTTAATATTCACTAGCAGCCTCCCCAGACCCCTCTCCATCCCCTGCTTAAATACACCTGAGGACAGGGCTGTGTTCCTCAGCCTCTGTCTCCGACACCCCTGGCACAGTGAGCCGTAAGTATGCCCGCCCTCGGGGAGAGCTCAATGGGCCCCCGGGTCCCAGCAGGCAGCAGGCCTGGGCCCCAGGGAGGCAGAGGGGATAGGGCTGGCTGCAGCCAGGCGAGGTCTCATGGTAACACAGGCCCTGTGGTCCTGCCCTCTTCCCAGGCCTCCCAGTTCCTGGGCAGTCTCCTGGTGAGGCATCGGCATGGCAGGAGAGGCCCTGTCCCCAGGCCGGGGAAGTCAAGACTGGGCCACAGCAGTGCCTGGGTTTAAAGGTGCCTCTTGCTACTGACACCACTTCTGGGATGCGGGTTGGTGAGAGGTAGGGGAGAGCAGGGGTTTCTCTGTGTACAGATAGGGTAAGGCCAGAGGGGACGCCAGGGCCCAGGCTCATCCCTATCTCATGAGGAAGACCCCCATGGGGCCTCTGCCTGCAGGCCTCCATGGCTCCCAGGTGCCTGGCCTGCCATGTTTGCCACAGCCGCCCCGTCACTCTTCCTGCAACCAGGTCACCTCCAAGCCTTGCTGTCCACGTCTTCTGACTCTACCTTAGCGTATAGAGAAGGTGGAGTGCTAGGTTCTAGAATTAAATTTCTAGGATAAAGTCCTAGCTCTAAGGCACTTGGCTCTGTCATGAGTTACCGAAGCTGCTTGGGCCTCAGTGTTTCCTCCTAGAAGACTGCACGGTGAGAACTTGGATGTCCCAGGGTGAGCGCTGAGGGAGGACTGGATGAAGGAGGCGCACAGGGTGCTCAGGGTGGTGGTGGCAGCGCTGGTGCTCCACATGAGCTTCGCCTGGGGTCAGGAGGCAGACAGGAAATGTTCTTGTGTGGGGAATGTTTCAGGCTCAGGGGTGGTCCACTGCTCAGCAGGAGCTGGTTTATGCCATGGGGAATGGTGTAGGTATCCAGGAAGCAATTGGCTGGGTCTCGGGTGAGCGTTCACGCACAAGGTAGAGGCCTCCACACGTGTCTGTGCCCGCCTGGTCAGGGTCTTGTTTGTGCTGCTGCTCTTCCTTCAGAGGTTCTCCTCCCACAGTGGAGTCAGGAAGTGAGGCTCAGGGAGGCTCTGCCCAGGGGCCAGCAGTGAGAGGCAGGGCAGCCCACACCAGCGCTTGTTCAGTGCTGGGATCTACCCCACAAGCCTCCGGGCTGCCCAGGACAGCTGTAGGTAGTTCATCCTCTGCTCCTGGATGGAAATGGTGTGGGATGAGGAAGAGGCACTCCCCTCCACTAACAATCCCCATGGCACAGAAACCCACTGCAGTGTCTCCAGGGTCTTCTCTGAAATGGTGGCCTCTGGCAGCACACAGGGGCTTCACAGCTGCCTTCTCTGCAAGTGGCCTCCCTGGCTTCAGGCCTTGGAGAGTCAGGGGCTCCTGCAGAAGACCAAGGAGAGAGCAGGGCTCAGCACGCTGAGGTTTGAAGGAACTGCCTGGGATGCAAATGATCCTGGCTGTAGCCTGATTTCAGCATGAAGGCCCAATCCTGCCACTCAGTTGTTAATGAGAATTTGATCACAAGATAATAGAGAAGTCACATTTTAAGAGGTTGAATCCAGAGTCTTTACTAGAAAGCTGGTGATGGCAGGCAGACTCATGTCCCCCTAAAACTTGCAGCATCCAGTATACTTAATTCTGTTAGGATACCAAACTACGAGTGTACTGGAGTAAAGAATGAGCAGAAAACAATCTCCACAGACCACATCAACTTTAATAGAGAGTCGAAGAGGGATGCCATCGTGCCCTGAGGAGATTCAGGAGACACAAGGTATGGCGCAATGGCAGCAGGGGCCAAGAGGCCTAAATAGGTCATGGTCAGAGGGCAGGGGCACAGGGCGCTCGAGAGATCAGAGTCTCGAGTTCATGGTCCAGGTCTGGCAGGTGCGGGAACCTGTTATCCAAGTCCCGACCCAATGTGCTTCTAGGAATTCAGGCTCCTGTCACCTGGGGGTGGGGGTGGGAACTGAATTTCACCTCTAGAGTTTTTAGAAAGTCCCCATCATCCACCAAGATGCCAAGATGGCACCACTTAGACCCAGTATGTATATCTTATTCTCCACTAGTTTTATAATAGGGATCCAAATAATTGATTCTTCAGCAAGAGGGCTGTTTGGGGGCCCTTGGGACCATGAGCTTAACCAAGTAACGCAATTTTGAACAAAGTTTACAAAACAATTGAGAAGGCATGGACCTATGGTTATGTCCAAGAGAAGTAGAATTACAGACCATGTCTGTAGATGTCAGTGTTGTTAGCCATGGGGACCCATTAAACTATTTTTGAAACCATTTCTGGGAATTTGCCCACCTTTGCTTGCTTGTTTCCATGTTTCACCATAGAGAGACTCTTCTGTATTAGACCTATTGCATCAGCATAAAAACCACAAATTTCTCCAAAGCTGCACAGACTCCACCCTTTTGAGTTTTTGCCTGGGCTGATCCCAGCTGCAACCTGAGGAGTATCCAGCTGTCAGACTTGGCACAGTATGACCAATACTGGTCAGGAGGCTTTGAACTTCAACATAACCAGCGATCCTTTCCCAGGTCAGACTGGCTAAGGTTTACAAACCTATGCATCATAGAATGTGTCACACAAAGTAGGCTCCAGGGAAGTAGTTGATAGAAAAGGTGAAGAGTCAGTACAATGCATAAGTCTTAGTTTCAGCAGATCTGATGTGGTGTGTACCTTCCTTCCTGTATCAGCAGGTTGTAGCAGCTTGTAGTATAGCCAGGCAAGAATCCCGTCTACTTTCACCATGGTGGGAATGGTCATGATGATGGTGTAGGGTCCCTTCCAGGTTGGAGTGAGGCCCTCTTTAACAAACTTCTTAACCCAGATGGAATCTCCAGGTTGGAGATGGGTTTGATCTGAGCTGGGCTGTGGCAGTGGCAGTGTCTCCCAAACCTGTTTGTACACCTCTTGCTGAGTTGTCTGTAAGTTCTGCAGAAACTTAAATAAGAAAGCATTATTAAGTTATCCTACAGTAGGGGCCTGACTTCAGTGAAATCTATTGCCCAATGTCCCCTGGATTGCTTCCTCTGAGCATGCTGATTTGGGTGGCAGATTGGGGTCAGGAACAGTCAATAAAATATTTAGGGCCTCACTTGACTTAAGGCTGCTTCTTGGGCAGTTGCAGAAGCAAAAATCATGTGATTCTCTTTAACTACTACAGAATCCCCTTTTTGATGCCCTGAATAATGTAGCAAGGTGATGATAACACTAGAATTTCCAGCAGACATCGAAGCTTGAGTCTGTAACCAAATACATCCATTGTTACGTAGTTGCTTAAGGAGTTCATATGCCATATAACCTCCTCCAGGCCAGCAGATGGAATGAAGACAGAGGCCAGGTGATCAAACCAGTAGGAAAACAAACCCATTCCACCTAGGTTGTCTGGCAGATTTGCAGGCTTTGTTAAAGTTGGCACCCATCACAAAAATGAGTTATAGTTGGAAGAGTACTGAGAAGAACTGCACAGGGTTCCTTCTATCTAGGTAAAAGTTGATCTGAAAGAATGTAAAAGCCATTTTTCTACAGCAGGTTTGTTAGTGCAGCCTGTTTAGATCTCCAGTTTGCAGAAGCATTTTTCCTGTCTGACTGGGGGACTTGATCTTTGACCCTCATGATACATAACTGTTACCAGTGAAGGTTTCCAGCCAGCATTTTAACAGGGACACAAACTCAGATCCATGTTTTATTGGGAAGTTCTCATTAGCCAACAAACCTCCTTTTTTGTCTGCATGGATATGTAATACCAAGAAAGCATATTGGAATCTGTACAGACGTTTACTAAGACCTCATTACATGAGTGTGTGAGGTCTATCAGGCCCAACTGCCCAGGTATCCAGAAGAGGGTCCTGACCTACTAATGCTCCAGCCTTACCTTCTTTCCTCGACCAGATGGATTCATGTGGCTGGTGCCAGACCAAAATGTACTGCCTTTTAGTGCCTTTAGCAGATACTGGGGGCTGGGCTTTTTGTTAACTTTGAACTATCTCCCATTTGACAACCCTAGCATTTTACTACCCACTATAACAACTGACTAATAGGTAAGGGTGTAAGTTATGGCCCCATATGGGCATTAGATAAGCATGCTTATGTACTTTTTTCTGATGACCTCCTGGCTTTACTTTTGAAAGGACAAGCACAAAGTGACTCCATTCAGGATCTGGCACCCTCACCTCTTATCTGAGCAGTTTTTTTTCCAACTGCCTCTGCATGATCCCTCATTGCCAAGATCCCTAGCTGTCAGGACAAGCTTGTCCAGTGGCTGACTTCTTGCTAGGATAATGTCCCAGTTAGCATTTTTGCTTGCTGTGAGGTTGACATGTCCCAGTTGAATCCTACATTGGATGAAGATAACTGACAGGTCAAATGAGAATATGTACCAATAGCCCCTTTTGTTTCCAATTGGAACAAAAAGGAGACCAATAGAAATAGTTTTAAAGTAGGGCCTACCTGGAACTTATTAAGAATCAAAGTTGAATCTGACCAACTTGTAAGCGTCTCCATCCTTCTATAGGCCTGCTACAAAAGATCAAATCTGTAAAGGCAAAGCTAAGTAGTAGTCATGATGAGAGTTTTGAAACAGCCACTGAGTAAACAATCAAGTTAATTTTTCACTGAATATAGCACTTTATAATATTAAGATTGAAATAGTTGTTATTAAGGTGATCCTTTGTTGTCTTAATTTTTTCCTTTCTCCACTTTGAAGCAAATATTTAAGATACTTCTTCCCAAATTCTTTTTACCCAAAGGAAATTTTTTTTCTCAATTCCCTTTCCAAAGCCTTTCTTTTTTTTATTTAACAGAAATTTTTGGTTGGTTGTGAGGCTTGAGTTCTAGGCCTGGGCATGTCCCTCAGCTCTTCAGCTCCAGGCTAGAACTGTACCATTTGAGCTACAATACCACTTCCAATTTTATGGTGGTTTATTGGAGGTAAGAGTCTCATGGACTTTCCTGCCCAGGCTGGCTTTGAACCCTGATCCTCAGATCTCAGTCTCCTCAGTAGCTAGGATTACAGACATGAGCCACCTGCACCGGGCCTTTCCAAAGCTTTTCTTTCATTCCTAACTTCTTTTTTTTATACTCCTTTGCTGTAAGTTACTTTTTTTTTTGTCAGTACTCTGGGCCTGGGCGCTGTCCTTCAGCTCAAAGCTAGCACCCTACCACTTGAGCCACAGTGCCACTTTGCCTTTTTTCTGCTTATGTGGTGCTGAGGAATCGAACCCAGGGCTTCATGCAGGTGAGGCAAACATTCTATCACTGAGCCAACTTCCTAGCCCTGCTTTAATTTACATTTTTAATAACTGTTTTAAAACCTTTTAACTAAAGTTCCTTTTAATGCAATGTAACAATCCTTTAAAACATTTGTTAACACCTATATCTGATGACCTTCTTTACAGTTTGAGTTTAAGTCTCCCCATTTTCTCCCTAACTTGGCTGTTGGTCACAAGCAACACAGATACTAGTTTAAAATGAAGTAAAAAAAAAACAAATGATTTTAGAAAATATCAATACTAAAAACAAAATCACCATACAAAACTGAAAAGACTACTTTTTCTTACCTCATGCTGATAGTTTTTTGTATTAAAATACCAGATTATCTTGAACATATTTACCCATACACAAACACACACACACACACACACACACACACACTTGTGCATAAAGGTCTTAAAGAGCACTTAGGTTTTAAAAATGAATATTGGCTGTATGTTTTCTGGAATTCTAGTGACAAGATATTTTTGCTGTTAGCACTATAGAACCATATGGTCAGTGTTAGATAAACAAAAACTTAAAAACAAATACTTTGCCAACAAACAAACAGAATCTCTTACTCTTACTGATAACCAAGACCTGGATGTTTAGATAACTGTGCTAACATGTCACATTAGCATACAAATTGGCCTTGAATACTTCATAGATGGGTGGAGGAGTAAGCTTGATGGAAGAGTTGGGGTTGCATGAAACTAAACCTTCATTCTATTTTTCACCCATTTTTAGACTAAAGCATTTTACATACCAATTCACACTAGCATTTCCAAATCCCTGGGGGGTACATTGGGAGGCAGTGTGCTTACTATGGGAAGAACCATTTTTCTAGAGACAGAGCCAAGTACAGTTGGTGCAGGCACTATAAGAGCAGAGTGAGACAAAGAAAAGCTAGTGCCACCACAGAAAGAGAGACTGCACAGAACACAGATGGACAAACAGACAAAATGACACCAGATGTCTTCCAGAGACCAGATGGATGTCCTTCTCTGGAGCACCTGACAAGAAACAATCCTCAAAAACCAAATTCAGGAAGACCAGACAAGTTATCTCACCATGAGTTAACTTAGCACAACTAAACCAAAACCCTCTACTGAGGTCTGAAGCCTTGATGGCCTGTTGGGAGGGTAGTTATCACATCTCATCCCCTTCCACAACAGTGCAGGAAGATGGATCTCCAGAAACAGAAACAGAGAAAAACAGAAACACAGACTTACCTCCAGAGGTCTCCTTAGGCATGTCACCTGCTGTTGGAGTGGAGGAAGGGCTGCAGGGCCCTGGAATATCTCTTTTTTTTTTTTTTTTTGTCGGTCGTGGGGCTTGAACTCTGGGCCTGGGCGCTGTCCCTCAGCTCTTCAGCTACAGCGCCACTTCCGGTTTTCTGGTGGTTTATTGGAGATAGGAGTCTCACGGTCTTTCCTGCC